GCAAGTGTATCTGGAAGTGAGGGCGAGCACGGCGCCAACGCAGCCACGTTCTGGAACCGCTTGCAAAGGACCTCTGCATGGCAAGGGCGCGGCGAGAGCGTTGCGGGCAGCGCGGCGAAAGTTTGGATGCGGCTTTGACGTTTGCAGCCCCGCTCGAGCGCTTGCATGCAGCCCCGTCCAGGCGCAGCGCCCTCTCCACAGCCTCCCAGAAAGACAATGCGAATGACCGAGCGACTGCAGCCACCCACGCCTTTTCCAGACTCGATTCGAACTGGGCCGTGGAAGTCCTGCGTCGGCAATGCCTGCACCTGTTGGCCGTGTCGCGCCCTCATCGCTCAGGGCGAGCTGCACGAGGCGGTGAAGCTGGCGCTGAAAAAGCTGCACGGACGCCGCAACTTAGACTTCCCCACGCTGGCTGGCCTCGACACGCCCGACTAGGCGTCGGCTTCGCGTGAGGAGAGAGAGAGGCGAGTAGCCAATTTCAATTTCTTGCGCTCTCGGCGCAACTAAGCGAAGTGTTGGAGCTGCAGTGCCGCACTCATGGACCAAAGTGCACTTTCCCAAAGCGCTCCTTCCCTCGTTGCCGCACCTCCATCCTTTCCCCTCTGAGTCTCAGCGAGGCTTCTTGGTCACCTTCCATCACCTCCTCACCGTCGCCATCTCCCTCTCATCACGCACTTCGGTCGCTCCGCGCGAACAAAGCTGGTCTTGGTCGCGACAACGGCCGCGCACTGCTTCCGCGCTACCAACCTGGGATTTCGTGGGCGACCGCACGCCGCGACATTTCATTTCAGCACTTCTCGGCGCTCAATTCCGGTCACATCTGCATCCTCCCGGCAGCCTGCTTCCGCTAAGGCATTGAACTTGATCCGATCCGAGATCGCGGTTTGCCATTGTTGCCGAACCCGACTCTTGCGCTTCCTGTCCGATCGTCACCATAAGCCGGAGCAGGCTCCGTCGCAATCTTGGTGGTCAACTGATCGTTTTCTCCGCGACCACCACGTCTCTTTCTACACAACAACTCGGATAGCAAGACACCACCCACATCGCCGAGGCAGAAAGCCTGGAAACCCACTCCTGGCTCAGCAGAGAACGGCCAATCATGTCATCTGTCGTAGCCACAGTCACCTCAACGGCCGCAGCCGGTCCCACATCCTCTGTGGACGCGGCCGATGCTGCCAAGGCCTCTGCATCGTCCGCGGTGCATTCGCTGTCCAAGGCAATCGCCTCTGCATCCGCTGCACTCACGTCAGAGAGCGCCATCGCGTCTGGCAACGAAGCCAACCCGCCTGCGTTCAAGTATGTGGGTCTTGCACTCGCTGTAGGATCGGGCGTACTCATCGGCTCTTCCTTTGTCTTCAAGAAGAAGGGCTTGCTGGCCGCCCAGAAGAAGTATGAGACCGCAGCTGGCGAGGGTCACGCCTACCTCAAATCAGCCATGTGGTGGACCGGCATGATCGTCATGGTGTTTGGCGAAATCTTCAACTTTGTGGCGTACGCATTCGCAGACGCCGTGCTGGTCACGCCGCTCGGAGCACTCTCAGTCGTCATCTGTGCCGTGCTCTCGTCGATCTTCCTCAAGGAGAAGCTCACGCTCTTCGGCAAGGTGGGCTGCTTCCTCTGCATCGTCGGCTCGGTCATCATTGCGCTCAATGCACCCACCTCGCATGTCGGCGGCAAGATCACCGAATTCCAGAAGCTCTTCCTCGCTCCCGGCTTCCTCACCTGGGCCGGCGTATGCATCGTCGCGTCGTTGGTGCTCATTTTTGTCTTCGCGCCCAAGTACGGCAAGAAGAACATGATGATCTACATCACCGTCTGCAGTCTCATCGGCGGTCTCAGCGTCAGCGTCACCTCGGGTCTCGGTTCGGCCATCCTGCTCTCTATCCGCGGCCAGAACCAGTTCAAGCACTGGTTCATCTACTTTTTGCTCGGCTTCGTCGTCATCACGCTGCTCATCGAGATCAACTACCTCAACAAGGCGCTCGAACTTTTCAACACCGCCACCGTGACGCCCACCTACTACGTCATCTTCACCGGTGCCACCCTCATTACCTCGATCATCTTGCAGCAGGGCCTCAATGCATCCGCCATCGACATTGTCACCCTTGTCATGGGCTTCCTCGTCATCTGCGCCGGCATCGTGCTTCTGCAGCTCAGCAAGATCGACCCAGACGAGCTTCAGGACAAGCCAGGTCTGGATCGCGACACCACGCTGCTCATCCGCGCCAGCCACTCGGTCATTTCGCACGGCGGAGAGAAGGCGGAGTCGTCAGCCTACGAGGATCCGGGTGTAGACACGGTTCGCGGCGGCATGGGTATCGTAGGCTCCATGATCCGCGCACGCAGCTCGCGCCGTCTCAGCTCGGCGAGCTCGTGGGGCCGTCAGCACCACAGCGCTGCAGACGAGTACACTCTGCGCAGCCGCAACAACCTTCCGCTCACCACGCATCGTGCCGGAGACATCGAGAGGTACCAGCTACAGGATGCACCGCTCTCACCGAGAGGCCTGAATCGCGACAGCTCGTTGCTCTCGGTGCCCAACACGCCCTCGCGTCGCGAGACGACCATCCAATTCACGCCAGACGCCGACTCTCCTCACGGCCACCATGCGGGAGAAGGCTCGGCGCGCGACGCGCGCTACCGCACCGCGCCGGCCATCTCGCAGTTTGGCGCGATCAACACGCTTCACTCGATCAAGGAAGGATCGAACGGCAGCGGACGGAGCGGCGAGGCCTCGGGCTCGGGGAGCTCGGCGCAGCAGCGCTCGCAGATGTACGTGGATCCGTATGCTCCGCGAGCGCATTCGCCCTTGTCACCCACGATGCCTCGCTCCGACGGCGCGCCGGACATCCGCAACATGTGGGATCAGCCCGATCTCGGCTACGCTTCGTCGCCTGCCGCCTCGCCCGAGACGGAGGAGGACGGGTACTCGATCCGAGCCGTGGCGTCGTCCGTTGGTGCCGACCAGCACAGTGGCAGCGGTCGCAGCAAGACCAAAGAGTACCCCAAGATCAAGCCGCGCTCCGCCTCCAAGTCCATGGGCAAGGGAAGCAGCGATGACGACGAGGCCGAAGAACTGCTCAGCCCGCGTTTGGGCTACAGATGAGTTGCACTATCTACAGGATGTATAGACTATGCTTTGCTGTTACAATGGACACTTTTTCCCGTGCCTCGACCAGCCGTGACAGTGATTCGACAGGGGGCTGCGTAGGGCTGCTACGTTGAGCTCGATCAGATCCGACTTGAGTGGCTCTGGTTCACAAGGCAAGACGACAGATGCGGCCAAGTCTGTGGTTCGGAAGTCGGCTTGGTGTGACGCCCAAAAAAAGGTCGCATGTGGAGCGTGGAAGAAAGCGGGAATGACACAGCGGTGCAGCGGTTCATTTTGGGCGACAGTCGACTCTCTGCTGCGCCAGACGATCACCACAGGAGCGTGCCGAGTTGGCAGGACCCTGGACAACCGGACTGCAGCTTTGACTCGGGTCGCGGATTACATGACCAGCCGAAGTTCCGACCGTACTCAGCCACGCCCGGAACATCTTGGCAACTTGCTCCAACCCTCTCAACAACCTCCTGCATCCCCATCACACCTCTTTGTGTTTCGACCGTTTCGCGATGCTCCGTCCTTAATCGACTCGGCTCGGAATTCTAAGCACGACTCGTCATGGCAGCAGCAGCGTCTTCTTCGGCGCTACCAGGCAGCGGCCCCTCGTCGTCCAATGTCGCCAGGGAAGCAGCCGCAACAGCAAAAGCGGGCAAGATCCCGCCGTACGCAACGCTGGCATTTGGCGCCGTATCGGGCTTTGCCTCGTGTGTGCTGCTACAGCCATTCGACCTGCTCAAAACACGGCTTCAGCAGCTGGACCACCACACTGCATCCGGAGGTGCAGCGTCCGAATCGATGGCCTCGCTCAAATACCAGTCGCGCACGCAGCGGCTCATCGGCATCACCAAGAACATCGTCCAGTCGCAGGGATATCTAGGTCTTTGGCGCGGTACGACGCCGACGGTCATTCGAAATGTGCCCGGTGTGGCGTTGTACTTTTACTCGGTGTCGCACTTGCGCCACGTCGCAAGCCAACGGCAGATCCCCTTCATCTCGGTCGTGGCGACAACAGGCGACTCAGCTGCGGGATCGTCTACGCTCGCCAAGCTGTCGACCACAGGCAACCTGCTGACGGGAGCAGTGGCGCGTGTGGCGGTGGGCTTTATGCTTTCGCCAGTGACGGTGGTCAAGGCGCGTTTTGAAAGCAGCAACTTCTCGGCGGCTACCGAGCGCACGCTCCTGTCGTCCATGCGCGAGATTCGCGCCCAGTCGGGCTTTGCCGGATTCTTCCAGGGCTTTACTGCTACTGCGCTGCGCGACGCACCCTACGCCGGACTCTATCTCGCGCTGTACGAGGCGTGCAAGACAAACCTCTCGGCGCTTTCGAAGGGCGTGGATGGCGGATTAGGCACAGGCAATTGGATGGTGGTCAGTGGTAGCGGCTTGTTGGCCGGAACGCTGGCGACATTCTTGACACATCCGTTTGATATCATCAAGACACGCATGCAGACAACACCTGCGGAAGCACTCCACCAGATCGCGCTCACCGACAATCCACTGCCGGTCACGTCGGCCGCAACAGCCACCTTCCGAACGCCGTCGGTGTGGGGGATGACCAAGCATCTCTGGGCGACATCCGGACCAAAGGCGCTGCTCGATGGGTTGGGATTGCGCTGCGCGAGAAAGGCAGCGAGCTCGGCGATTGGATGGAGCATCTTCGAGGGCGGACGCTCGTGGTACACGGATCGCCAGCTGCGCATAGCAGCTGCGAACCAAACAACAAGAACGCTAGATCACAAACAGGTATAAAACACACACCTCATTTGACTCGGATTGTACACTAGCCGCACCTACCGGCGACCCGGTATCCTTGCGCGATGCACAGACAGATGCGCACGCTGGATTTGATTTGTCATTGCAGCAGCATATATCCACAACTCGCGGCATCCTTTCAGGGAGTAAAGACGAGGGAGAAGCCCTTGCCCTTGGCGGCCTCTGCGACCTTGACACTGACGATACCGGCCTCCTGATCGAGGTCGGCCGTGACGTCGGAAGCTGCATCGCCCTCGACGGCCACGTTGAGGCTCGGGTAGAGACGCTGGTTGTCGAACTTGAGCTTGAGGCTGTCCTCGCCCGTGGCGTGGTACCAGATGGTCCACCTCTTCTCTCCCGAGGTGGCCTCGGTTCCGTCGCCGTCCTCGTACTCGGAGTAGACGAGGATGGTGTTGGTGGAGGACTTGTCGCCCTTGTCCTGGGCTGCATCGTAGGGCAGGTGTCCGTTGGTGTAGTAGACGTCGCGCACGCGGCCCACGCACATGGGCGTCTCGGTGGCGACCATGGAGACAACCGAGGTGGGCAGCGAGCCGTTGAGGTGGATCTTGACCACGTACTCGAGCTTTGTGTCGCTGCCCTGCTGGACGAGGTCCCAGGCCGACACCTCGAGCGTGGCGCGCGTGCGCGACTTGGAGTACGAGCCCGCCTCGTCGACGTACTGGTCGGCAGCGACCGAAGTCTGGATGACAGTGATGCGGTCGCCAGAGTCGCTCACCTTGTTGCGCTGCACTCCCACAATGTCGCGCGCCCAGACAAAGTACGAGGGCGACTTGAGGTACGTGTAGAAGAGGTAGGTCTGCGCGTCGTAACGCTCCAGCTGGGTGGCAGCGTCAAAGCGCGGGTCCCACTTCTTGCGCATGCCGGGCTGCTGAATCACAGCGAGCACCTGCGACGGCGTGGCATTCTCCACCAGCGTGACGCCCTTGACGATGGGCACGTCGTATGCATTCTCCGGGTTGGTCTTCTTGAACAGCTTGACGTCCTCGCGCTCGCCTGCGTCCTCCCACTCGGACTCCTTGGCCGGGTCGTTGTGCTCCTCGAACTGTGCCTGCGCCTTCTGGAGCGCCTCCTCGTACTCGGCGGGGATGGGCAAGTAGCTGTCCTGGCGCTGAGGAGAGGGGAGATCGAGCGTCATCTTGTGTATCTGCGGTGGCGACGGGGGTATAGCTTTTCTGTTGCTGGTTCGAGGATGGATGACAGTGACGGCGGTCGTGGTGGCACGATGGTAAGGAGTAGAGATCGACCGCTTGCCTGAAATAGTCGAAGTCTAGCTCGAGCAGATCAGGCTGCGGAGGCTCAGGGTCTCTTCACCGGCGTCCGGGGGTGGCAACGGCAGCCAACTGAGCCTTGCAAGGCGAGGATCTTCGCATGCGGGGACTCTCCAACCGCCCGGCGTGCGGAGCTGGATGCGAGACCAAAAATGCGCCTCCACACCACACAGACCACCCGGAGCCAGAAGATGAATTGAGCGGTGCTTTTCAACAGCGTTGCTCGAAAAGCGGGGGAACGCGTGTTTGCTTGCTTGCCTGTGAAAGCTAATCGGTCGAGAAACGGCAGCGCTGCGACCGGACCTCCGAGCCTCTGTCTCCAACAGAAATGCCCGAACATTCACAGATTGGCCGCACACCGTCGTCGTATTTTGATTCCACGCTGCGAGCCACCAGAGACCGTCGAGCTTGAGAGCGTGCCACTCGTGCCGTTTTTTCTCACCTGTACCCTTTCATCGCCACATACAGTCCATCGCCTGAACCTGCAAAGTAGTCACTGGTCTGGTGGTTGCTATTTCGACGAGGCTGGAAAGTTGGCTTTCCAGCTCCAACTCTGATCATCGCCCGTCTCTGCACGTTGTGGCAGCGATGGATTGATGGGTGTACCTTGACCATCCAAGGCGGTGAGCGTCTCTCCGGACTCATAAAATTCGCACTTCCACACCGCAACGTTCTTCTTGACCTCTTCCAGCAGCCACTCTGCAACCACAAAGGCTTCTTTGCGATGCGCCGAGCTGACCGCGATCAAGATGCTGCACTCGCCCACCCGTACCTCGCCTAGCCGGTGCGCAATGTAGCACTTGCTGATGCGGTCCTCGTTCGCGCCTTGTGTCGACTCTGGCGCTGCGTTAGCTGACCTTGCCACAGGGGTGTCTGCAAATGGCGCCGATGTGTGTGCTTGATCCAGCAGATCCCGCAGCGTGCGCAAAGCAAGCGACGAGTATGCTTCGTACTCGAGCTTGCTCACCGTCTTCCCTGCACCGCTCCGTATCAGAGGTCAGCTAGGCGCTCCCACGTAGGACTCGGGATCAACGCACCTTGAAACGAGTTGCGCGTTGTTCCACTGAAGAGGACCGTCGCTCCAGCTCCGTCGTCGGCGACAAAGCTCGTTGCACGCTTTTCGTCGAGCTCGTCGTACGTGAGAAGCGCAACATCGCCTTGTCGGCCCCTCACGCTGCCTGCCACCGATGACGGCGGATACTTCGAGTCCACATCCTGAGCAAGCAGCTCTGGCTTCGACATCGTTGCGTGAAGGTTGAGGGACGCGAGTCAGATGGAGCCAGTCGAAAATCCGGCGCTTTGTGTCGGACAATCCGGCGACCTGTCCGGCCAAATTTGCTGTGACTTCTCAACGTCAGGGTCCAGCCTTCAAGGCACGCTTCTTCCGCACTTCACCGTACACTCCCGCACCTCAGCTCAGTTCGCATGTCCGTTCACCACATCACTCCTGGGACCCTTTGGAATTTGTGGATCGATTAGCGACTTGCCATCGGCCCACCGCCGACCCCATGCTTGCTTTGCTTTTGACGACGCTGATGTGCGCTTAGTAGTTGCACTGGACGAAGTTGTTGCCCGAGGCGCCGGTGTGGGTGATCTGCAGAGGAGGAGCGACGCACGATTGGGTCGTCAGTCAACAGAGTCCAGGACGCATCGCCGAACAGAGGCGGGGCAAGAAAGACACTTACAGCGCCGCAGAAGGTGCCGTCGTTGCTGTCGTAGACGACACGGTCAGCACCGGGCGAGCCGCCGGTGTAGCCAGTCGACGAGGTCTTCAGGGGGTACCTAGAGTGCGTCAAGTAAGATTTCGGTTGCGGGTCAGCATCATTCCTTATTGCAAAAGCAGGGCCTGAGGAGACGGCAACTCACTCCTTGTAGGGACCGTTGCAGTAGTCAGAGAAGTCGAAACCTGGTCATTTGCAAGCAATTCAAGACGATCCCACATTAGCGATTGCAACGAGCATAAACACCTTCACCTATAGCATTGCACTTACCTTCGTAGTTGTTGTAGGTGTGGGGGTAGCCAGAGCTGCTGTACTTGCCGCTGAGACCGTTGTTGATGGCGCGGTTGACCTGCGTCGAGGTGTACGAGACACCGCCGCAGTTGACCGAGACACCGCCCTGGCGGGGCTCAAGAGGGGCAGCAAGCGCCACGGCGGGAACGAGAGCGAGAAGAGCGAGCGAGAACTTCATTTTGGAGGGCAAGCAAGGGGAAGGGACCAAGCAAAGGAGGGACCGGAAGAGTGGAGTGAGGAGTGTCTTTGATGTGCTGTGACCGGGGCGCTTTTCCAGGGTTGTAAGGCGGCCTTATGTATGTTTCGAGGCACATAAACAAGTACAGTGAGACATGGAAGCCAGTCGATCTTCGCTGCAGTGCGAGATGGTCAAGGTTTCAAGCGGCAGATGCTTAGCCGGCAAGCGCTAGCAAGGCAGCTCGGCCACGCCTGACCAGCTCCTTCCTGTTCCGATGTGACTTGTGCTGGGGCGCAAGTTAGCTCAAGGCAATAGGCGAGGAACACGGCTGTCAAGGTGACAAACGCTAGTCTCGGGCACGTTACCAGGAACTCCCCACGTCGAGCCTCTTGGCGCCAGCTCGGCTGGCAACTGTTATCGCACGTTCGCTTCGTCCCTCGCCTTTCTTCGCACCCACCTCTTCCGTGCGATCCTTTGCTCCCACCTCCGGCTTCTCGCCCCGACATCCTCACTCTCGGAGATGGAACGTTACTCGATCTCGTCTTCTTCTCCAACCGCTGTCTACCGAGTCCTGCCTCAGCGAGCCACTTTCCGGCGGTTAGCCTCGAGGCGAAGCGCGAATCAATTGCGCCTACGATGCGCACGTTATCTTGATCACAGGGTCTTGCTGAATCCTGCCAGCTAGCCGAGGGCGGACGCCTTGGCCAGAGTCGCAGGGGGGTGAGTGACAGGCGCTTCATGCCTGGGCGAGCGTGACCCTGGTTGGCAAGCCGACGGCTAGCGCGCGGAGATGGCCGACCAATCATGATCGTGCAATCGTACCCCGTGAAGCCAGCTTGCATGAGAACAACCGCAAGCTTGCTATCCACAGGCGCCCATGCGTCCATATCCACGTTTAGCTCGACCAACACGGAGCAACGCCAAACGTGTGCCAAAGCGAGCACGGATTGAAGGCTTCCGAACAGCCGAGGTGCACTAGCTCGCTTTTTTTCTTCGCGTTGGGTTCCCGCTACATGCATGCAACTCGGACCCTCGACATCCATGGGCGGAACTTGGAGCCGCTCAGCACGGACGCCAGCTCGCATCAACCCAATGCTACGGAACGTCGGAGGCGTGAAGCTGAGCTACAGCAAAGCATCTGCTTTGCAACGGTCTCATGGCTGCGAGCTCGCCATGACTTTGAAGATTCAGCCCGCACGTTTCATTTTCGGGAAATCGGTGCGGTGTTACATCGATCTTCATCTGACTTGCTCCCGCAAGTGTTGCGCGACACCACGTCCATGCAGCAGACTGCCACCCTTACGCCCCTCACTAACGCTCAAACAATCCTCTTCAATCAGGAAACGAGGATGATACGATCATGCTGCATGTTTTATGCAAGAAAAAGGCTCTATGCTTGGTAGGTGGAGTAGCCGTTGGTGACGGGCCCATTGTTGGGGTACGGGCGAGCCTCGGTCATGGGGGTCTGGTAAAGACTGCCGCGCTCCGAGCCAGGGAGGGTGGAAGGGGCGTTGGTCGGGCTGTAGTTGGAGGGCTGGTTCACGGCAGGCGCGGGCTGGACGCCGTGACCACTGTGGTACTGCTGCGCAGCCTGGCTTGGGTAGTAGGTGTCGTTTTCCCTCACGCCGTCGATCGCATACGGCGCGGTGGGGCGGTCGTCCACACCCTGCTCCTTGGCCAGCTGCTTGTTCTCGACCATAGTGCCGTCGGCGTTGAGGCCCTTCTGGGCGCGCCTGTGGGCGGGCCAGAGGTCCACGAGGTACGTGAGGAAGAAGATGTCGAGGAGGAAGGCGATTGCCCACTCGCAAACGGCAGCGGCCGAGACGATACGGTCGCACCTGTTGTCGCCCGGATTGGCATCGCCCCTGCAGATACCGTAGCAGACGATGAAAGCGATCGCGCCCGCGATGGCAAGCGCCAGGATGATCGACTTGATGATTGCGATAACCTTGAGCGTAGCCAGGCGGTCGTGGTCGTGCGAGAGCGAGAACACCTGGAGCACCTGGAACAGCACCGAGAGCGCCACGAACACAACAAAGATGAGCGTCATGCTCCAGTGGACTGTGCTGTGGTTGAACGCATCAAAGATGCTGAGCAGCACCAGAGCCGCCGAACCAATGATGGCGCAGATGACCGAGCAGATATCCAGGATCGTCTGCTTCTTGCGAACCGAGCCGGGAATGCGACGCAGGTGTCGCAGGTGACGCTCCGCAAAGGTCGTCAGGATGTAGAAGCCGGCAGTGAGTGCACAGAAGATGATGAAGAACGTCTTGTGCGTCGCACCCACGTCCGAGATAAAGACAATCGACGCTTCTTCCACCTCGTACTCGGCGAAGCTATCTTTCGACCATAGTGCGAGCAGGCCGACGATGGCCGTGGTCCACGACGCGAACGTCAGGATGGGCAGCAGATAGTAGATGCCGTGGATACCGATCTTCATGGCTGCAGCTCTGCCCGGAGGTCAAGGACGAAGGAGGAGAGGTGAGGAACTAGGGCGGGCTCGGGAACGGATAGATAGGTGATGGCCAGAAGAAAGAAGGCTGTCGCCTTTGCTTCTTATACGGGATCTGGAAATTGTCCTGCTGCATTGCCCGCGAGCGCTCGGGATAGCCAGGAAGGTTGGTCATCCCTGCGCTGCGTACCGGAGACAGGGCTTGAGATGCAGCGAGTCGGCTCGATGACGAGGCTCAGGCAGCACCCTGGGTTCATGCCATCCACACGAAAGGCATCTGCACGCGGGTGCAACGACCCCATTTTGACAGGTGGGGACCCACTCGTTTGCCAAGCGTTGGCCCACCTCTCTTGCCATGCGGTAGGCTCGAGTGACGACAGCGCACGGCGGGACAAGATGACGTCAAATGCCGCGTCTGAAAATGTTCCTAATTTACGCTTCCGCTCGTCGGCCACAGTTTTTTTGGCACTGATTTGCAGCTCCGATCCGGGCAAATCGCGCATCCAAGCAACAGCTCCGCCGCCATCAGCTCGCCGTTGCCTCGCTCCGGCAACCCAAGGGTCCAACCCGCCGTCATCGTCGCATCGACGTTCTCGCAGATCGGCGCTTGCTATCGGCTCACAACCGATTCGTCCAGGGTCCTGTCTCGGCCAGCCTCGGCCAGTCCCTGAATTTCTGATCGCACTCACACTACGGCAGAAGTGAAGAACAAAGAGATGCTTGCAGAGGTGTACGTGATGCATTATGGATGACGAGAAATACGGATGTGCTGATTAGACGCGAGCGAGCAGGCAGGACGCCCACACTTTTGTGGTGATGCGAAAGGCATCAGGCGAGGGGACGCATGGGCTTGCCGGCCTCCTTCCAAGCAGCGAGCACCACGTCGCGCAGCCTGCAGAAGGCCTCCTCGACGTCCTTCTCCTCAATGATGCTGAAGCTCGTGCGGACGTAGCACGTCTTGCTGCCATCCGGGATAAAGGCGACGCCGGGTACGGCCAGCACACCCGCCGCCTTGGCCTTGTCCGAGATCAGAGCAAAGCTGTCGCCTTCGGGCTCCTCGGGTCCGGAAGACGGCAGGTTGAGCTTGAGCCACAAGAACATGCCTGCCACAGGCGTGACCCACTGCGCCACACCCGACTCGCCCAGCACCTGGCGCGCCTTGGCCTCAAAGTTGTCGCGGCGCTTGGCGTAGTAGCGCGCAACGCTGTCCACGTGGCGCAGGAAGCCAGGGATGCCCCAGTGGTTGAGCAGCTTGAAGGCCATCACGCCGGGCACACCCGATGGCTGCAGGTTCGACATGGCCGTGTTGGCATCCACAGCATCCAGGATCTCCGTAGGTCCCGTGGCGAAGCCAAGTCGAAGGCCGGCGGCCAGAATCTTGGAGAAGCTCTCGAAGCGCACGACACGGCCAGTGCCCCATCGCTCGCGGTGCTCCTCCTCAAGACCCCAATAGCTCTTGCCTCGCTTCCTCGTGACCGCATCCTCGTCCAATCCACCAAAGTGGAGGTAGTAGTATGGGTCGTCCTCCAGAATGAGGAAGTCGTGCTGGCGGGCAAGCGCGAGGATCTGGCGCTTGCGATCGTCCGACGCGGTGGTGCCGGCAGGGTTGGCGCCCGTGGGGGTGGTGTAAAGACACTTGGGACGAGGGAGACCGGCAGTCTCGGCATTCGAGTCCCAATTTTCGAGAATCTCGGTCAGCCTGCTCGACATCATGCCCTGGTCATCGCTGACCACGGGGACGATCCTCGCCTTGAGCATGACAAGCGAAGGAAGAATGCCGGTGTACACGGGCGACTCGACAAGGATGACGTCGCCGGGGTTGAGCAGCGCGTCAAAGGTCTTGTTGAGCAAGTCCTGCGAGCCGTTGCCGGTGGTCACTCGCCACGGCGACCTGCCTGCGACGCCGTCGAGCTTGGAGCCAGGCGTGACGACCTCTCGGGTGTGCATGTGCACCTGAAGCTGCGTAATCCACTGCACCAGCTTGGGGATGCCGGCGGTGGCACCATACTGGAGTGCAGTGACCAGGTCGTCTCCGTCGATGGTGAGCTGGGTGGGCCCCGACTCTGCCTCGGGCTTGATGTTGACGCTGATGCTCTCGAAGGGGAAGGTCTCGGGGTTGGGCTTGCCGGCCAGAAGCGAGAGCATGCCCGGGATGGCCTCGGCGGGGAAGAGGGCACGAATCGCCGACGCCGGTCGGTCGTGTGAGGCCTGGCTCAGGAAGCGTGCCGGGTCGACGCGGCTGGCTTTGGGCACCGTCTCGGAGCCTGGGTTGAGGTCGCCGACTTTGTCCCCGAGGTGGGAGCTGGGGTTGGCATGGACGACCTGGGCGGTTGGCGACATTGGTATAGAGTGGACTGTGAGGGCTGGCTGATGTAGTCTATGTTGCGTGGCGGAATGCGGGAAGTGATGGCTGATCGAATCCGAGCTTGCGAGCACAAGAACTTCTTATCCGTTTTGGGTCTGTACGGAAGAGCGTCTGCAAAGCCAGCAGACGACGGTGCTGACGCCTGGTTGGGGGTGCCTCGGGGCTGCGTGCGCCGACCTCTGATTCCGGGCGGCAATGATGGTGCGGTGGGAGCGCGGCGGTGGCTCTGAATCCGCCGGAAGTATTGGATGGGACGAGATGAAGATGTCCAGTTGCCAGTGGGAAAGGTGTGATGTTGTGCCGGGACGAATGTGGGTATGTGAACGCAAACAAGGAAGAGATACACTGATGAAGGGATGCGCGGACGGGATGGTGAGGTAGGAAGGCAAGGAGGACGGGGTGGGACGGCCGAGCCTTGAGCTGATTGTGCGCACCGCTCCTCATCAAGAGCGGAGCGCAAACACGAAGCGGTTTGATAGCCGGAGTGACTCCACCAGAGCAGCAGAGCGGCGCAGATTGGTTGACTTGAGCCGATACGTGAACCGTCAAAGCCAGCACAAGGCGCGGATTCGGCTCTTCCATCCGGCACAACGGGGCAGCTGCACGCCTGACTTCCAACCCAAAAAGTGCGCAGTTGCGAGAAAAACTTTCGGCGCTTTTCCGGTGCCCTGCCCCTGAGCCGAGTTTGACGCGTGGCGGCGCGGATAAGGAAAAGCTCATCTTGCCTTTGGCAAACAAGAAGAAAGCGCCGCGAAAATGTCCGAGCGTGACTCGCTAGCCGGCCCTCTCACCAAAGTCATGTTGCGTGACCAGAGTTTTGGATCCGTTGGAAGCAACTCATATGCCGTCACAGGCGTCATGCTGTGCAGCAAGCAAGCCAAGCCAAGCCAAGTCCGCACCGTGCTGCGCAGCGCAAATACCGTTACAAAGAAGCTCAAGCTGCAGCCGCTGCGCAAATACCGCAAGGGTGTCATCGGCTAAACACGCTTATTTCTCGCAGGCCCCGCAGTGCAATGCTTTGTCCGCGGTATGATCACGATTGTGCGCTCCCACACGATCCGCAACCCCGACGTTGGAACCTTGGCGGTGGGAGCTTGATGAAGAATGGCGCTGACAAAGTGGGAACATAGCATGAACTCGCGTGGGCATTTCATTTCATGTCATAGCGGTTGACAGTCAGGCGGCTTCCCCGTGGTGACTGCCGCAGAGGAATGTCATGTCCCTGCGTCGGGGCAAAAATGCACCGCTGAAAGACGCAGCTGCCACGCAGCTGGTTGTTTGCCGTCCCGCTCTCACGCGTCGTTGGCGTGGGATCGTTTTCAAGACTCTGCCACTCACCCACCGCCATGATGTTGTAGGTATATGGTCGCGCTACGATCGTTGTCAAGCCTGACAAGGTGAATTCCACATTACATGCCATCTGAGCTGCGTATATCAACCTTGACGTGGGAATCGTTGCTGCGCTAGCATGCAGGCAAGCGCAGCACGGATGAGCCCCAGCTTCTCCACATGCGCTCGACGGCGCGATGCTCGCCCGACTCGAGGTCGCGGATGTCCTGGAGGAACTGCCGTTGCAAGCGGCGTGCTGCGGCTTTCTTCCCACGCGATAGCGACATGAGCAGCGGGCCCGAGGCAGAGCGCAGCGTTGACAGATCCAGCAACAGCAGGCCCTGCGTGAGGTCGTCCCGACCCTCGTCCTTGCGATCCGCCTCTTGGCCACCCGCAGCTCGGCGATCGCCCGATGCATCCCGCGACGGTGACGACAAGAGTCGGTCGACGCGGCGCATGGCTTCCCATGCGCGCATCTGGTAGCCGCGCCCGGACGACTCGGACCTCTGCACGCTGAGGTTAAAGACCTTGTTGCGCAGATAGCTCTGACCGACGTAGAGGATTCCCAGGGCGGGTGCGATGCCCACGGCTCCGAAAAGCAGCTGCTGGCTCTTGAGCAGCTTATCAATCCCCGTCATGGCAACCTCGATATCCACCTTGGCCTTCTGCACCTGGATCAGCAGCGATCGGATCAGCGACCCGCTCACCATCGACTTGACCGGGCTCTTCATCTCAGCCTCGTACACCTTGAGCACCTGCGTCAGGTCGCCCTCTCGAACTCGCGACGCAATCGCTTGCAGTTCAGCGCCCGACGTGCCGTACTTGTCCTTGGTAAAGTCGGTTACCATCCTTTCGAGCGACTGCAGATCCGATGCGAGCGACTCGCGCGACACGATCACGCTGCCCTCGTTGCCATGTCGGATGGTGTCGAGCAGGCCCACACACGGCTCCCACACCCAGCCGATCAGGAAGCTTCGTACCGTCTCTTGCGTCTCCTTGAGCTTCGCCTCGATGCCGTTCCAGTTGTTGGAGAGGTAGCGTGCGAGGAGCACTAGTCCCACCGGATACAGCACCAGCTTCGGCCAACGCTGCACCAACGCTGAAGGCTGGCCAAACACTTCGGGCGACAAGACCATCTGCACCCGCTCCTGCTGCTTGTCGAATCCTTCTTTCAGCAGCAGTCGGAGCGTGCTCAGCGTTGCCTCGGGCGTAAGGCTGGCGTTCATATCGATCTTGACGTCCTTGCTATCGGTTGCGTCGCTGTTCGAGAAGGTGTCGACCAGGACTTTGAGCT